CGCCGGTTCAAATCCCAGCTGCTCCACTTCCGATCCAGCCCTCTGCTAATGGACTGGGACAGCAGTAGAAGATGGCCCAAGTCCTTGGGCCCCTGCACCCACGTGGGAGACCCTGAAGAAGCTCCTGGCTCCTGGTTTTGGATAAGCCCAGCTCCAGCCATTGTGGCCACTTGGAGAGTAAACTTTTCTCTCTTCCTCTCCAATAAATTAATTTTTAAAAAAAAAATCACAGGGAGAGGAATACTCTAGGAGTCCCAAGTAGGAGGTCATTACTGGCTGAAGAGTTAGAGTGACTGGAGCGCCTGTCCACAGCCTGAGGGGTCAAGGAGAGCAGTGGGGACCGGAGCAGGGGGCTCGCGGGGCGGCACCTTGCCCACTGCAGGCAACTGCCGCTTCTTAATCTCTCCCATGCCCTCTTCCAAGAGGAGATGGGAAAGGGGGAACACAGAGCAGCATCAGGGAGCTGGGCCTTGAACTCTCTGTGTTAGGGGCAGGGGAGCAGGGAGCGCCGCTCTGAAGCCGCCTGCGTGCTGGAAGTCAGCTCTGCGCTCAAGAGTCCCGAAGACCACGAAGAGAAACCCTGCCAGTGAGAAGAGCCGGCCGGAGAGACGGCGTCCAGCCCGAGGCCCTTCAACTTCAGAGCTGCAGGATTATCAAGTAAGCGAAATCTTCAAGTCAGGAAGATGTAGAAACACTTCTATTTGCCCTGGCAAGCCGCTGCAAGCCATCTCACCTTGTCTACGGCTTCCATGAAGAATCCACTCCCTCACTGCACCTGCTCAATGAGGCCATTCTGAAAACCAAAAAGCTAGGCTCCAAATTTCAGGCATCCGTTTTTACTAGCGTTTTAGGAAACTGGACTCCGGCAACCCAAAAAGGGCTCTTGAAAAATAGTATTTATAAATAGCAAAAATAGCCAAAAACCGGGGCAGGAAAAAAAGTGATTTTACTCAATCTTCACTTTTCTGATTTCTCTAATCCAAGGACAAACTGTATTTAACTTCCAAAACACACTGATGAGACAGTACTGTGCAGTAGCGTCCCAGGAAGAACGCCAAGTGTGGAAGAAAGTGCCCATCTTCCTCCCAAAATACCTTTAGTGTTTCTTAAATACATATTCCTAGAATCGGAGAGGAAAATCAGGCAGACAAATGTCTTGTCCCTGAAATCCCAAAACCAGCACAGCTTACTTGAGGAAGGAAACTTAAAACATAGGGTGCAGAGTGTGTAGCAGGCAGGGCTGACAGCCTCGATGCTGGCTATCCTCGAGGTAAACTCACCTGCACAGGCTGCCCACCTCCCAGGGCCCAGGAGGGTAAAATCCACTCCTATGCACTTTCCTGGAAGTAATCAGCTCCCAGCCCTGATTTTTTGAAAACCCCCCAAAAAGTCTAAGAAACTAGGATACCCATAAGCAAGCACTGTATGATGCACCTTCTCATGGGAACAGGGGCCTGAGAACATCTATCCACCTGCTAACCTGAACTGAAACCAACCTCTGTCCTGACTTCCAAGGTTTGCAAAGTTTGGTTTTCTGGTCAACAGGTGAAGTGCGTGGATTCAGCTAAAGCAATGCTAGAATTCAGTTAGTTCTATTCATTTGCTCTCCTTGTCTTTAACCCTGCCAAAACACCACCCCATTTGGAATTAACCAGTTAACAGGATTTTATCTAAAATTCCAAAATTCCATTTCTGGCATAAATTCTAAGTTGGTCATAAATTCCACGAACGTACTAGTGACACCTACCCAGCCAACTCCAGAGATGGAGACAAGAGTAGGAAATTAGGTCTTCAGCTCTGTCTACAATACTCATACTTCAACCTTGTGTTAAAAACCACCACTCTGATGATGTAGTGGGGTGAAAAACAAGTTTGTACTGTCTAGAAAACAGTCTCTCTCTCTCTTTTTTTTTTTTTTTGTAATTTACAAAAAGTATCCTTGTACTTAAAAACACTACTGATAGGGCAACCCTGAAAGGCGTGGAGCCCGGGGAATGCAACAAAGATGTAACACAGCGCAGGGCTGGAGGCTGAGACAACCCCACTCAGGGCAGACAGTGCAACCCCCAGCAAGCACTGATCTCTTGCTGCAAGTGGTCTGAGGCCAGTTAGGTTTCAGGGTCAGATGGGGGTGGAATTCTCGAACCCGCGTGGCCTGCGCTGCAGAGTGCAGTGCTGGGACCGGATATAAACTGCACCGGCACCGCACCCCACTTTGCACAGCAGAGGCAGGAAAGCCCTCTGCCCCCGCTGCAGGGCCGGCCGGGCTACACTGTCACCCACACTGGCTCCCGATGGGGCCTTTCTTGAGGACCTGGGTGTGGTCCAAACCCCTACAGGTAGGGAAGCCGAACGCCCAGCTCTCAGAGCCAGCACCGGCTCCCCTGGGCTTCTGCTCAGGTCCTCTCCGAAAGGGCACCTCGTGGGCAGCTGCAGTACGCTCAAGGCGCACCCTTAACCCTACCTCGCGCCCCGAAACGTGCATTCTCTCGGCCCTGAGTGGCCACGTCACCAGAGCCCGAGCCAGAGCCAGCCCCGGCCACAGCCTCTGCCGGGACTCTCGTGGCCAGCGGCTCCAAGGCCGACTGATCTCCTAGGCACAGAAGGAACGAACGTGCCCAACGGGGTTTCACGGGCGCTAACCAGCAGCAAGCAAGACCCGAGTCCCCCTCTGGAGGTTCCCAAGCTACCAACCATGCGCGGACCGCACACAGCCCAATCTCCTGGCTGGCCGGACCCCAGGGGCTACTCCTGCCTCAGCCCAGGGGAAAGCCCCCCCCCCCCCCCCCGCTTCCTCTTCCTCCCCCTCCCCAGCACCAGGTGGCATCAGCCCCCAGAAAGGAGCTGTTGACGCGAGAAGCAACTCAGTCCAGCAGCAGATTCTAAAAACGGAGGTAAAACGCAGAACCGTGGACCACAAAAAGAGACGGGGGCCACGCCAGTCCGGCCCCCTCCTCCGGAGCGTTTAGCCAGGGAGGGCTCTGGAAAGGAACAGAGCGAGCCCAGCTCCCAACACAGAAGAGGACTCGCGCCCGCCAGGAGCCTCACTACCTACCAGGTGCAGCCTTCCCGCACCTTGTCCCCTTGAAACTCACAATGCCGGCCACTCTCAGCAAGAGATCTAAAAGGCTCACCAAAGGAAGTACAAGCCTGCTCAGAACCGGGCAAACCTTCCGCTCTGCGGCGCATTTGATAATGCAAGCATGCCCGCCGAGCCGCGGCAGCCTCGCTGTGCCCAGAACAGTGAGTGTACTGCAAGGGGACCTGCTCCATCCCGCGAGTGGACCAATTCCGAACGGGAATACTGGCCACACCATGCATCTACTTCTTTTGCGCAAATAAAACATAGGTGTGCCTGTAACTGGCAGTCCAATTTAAAACCGACATTTAAACTCAAGCACCCCTCCCCAGAGGGAGTGAAATTATCCTGGCTGGACTCAGGGGGCCTTCTCCCTTTAAACCACCCCCCCAACACACACACACACACAAGCACAGGATCCTAATCTGCAAGTGAATTGGCTCCATTTTTTCCCCTTCCTCGGGTTTGGATCAGAATTTAGCTCAATCATTTGTTTCTCTAAAGTTTTGAACGAACTCCCTGGAAACGCTGACCAGTGACTATGGAAAAACTCAAGATGAGTGCCTTCTAACCTTAAACAACGAAGGAAGGAGGGAGTTGGCTCCTAGCTTTGTATAGAAAAGGGACCTTTAAAAGGGGGTGCCCACTCCAGCTAGATTAAAATTTCAACTTTTTTTCCAATAGGACAAGTCGGTTTAAGACCGCCAGGACTGGAGCTCCGCCCTCCCCCCCAATAACAGGTTAGGGCGCTGGGTATCAGCTGGCCCACGGCAGCTCTAGCCGGCAGAGTTCACTCCCACTCGGGATTTAAAGTCCCTGGGGTCCCCAACTCTTCCTCCACGGCCAGCCCAGAGCTGTCACACATCCAACCTCCCGCGTCCACAGGCAGATGGCAAAAGCGAACGACCCCCCTCCCAAAGCAGAGTTTGCTCCCCAAAACTTTCGGCTCCCTGCTTTCAGTGGGTTCCCGCTCAGCTAACAACAGGGTCAAGGAGGAAGCCGGCATCACCCGGTTTTAAAAGCCAAGGACTGCTTGCTCTACGCAGCCCTCGCATCTAAGAATCCAGCCCCCGGGGCTGCGGGGCGGCTCCCGGATAACTCCAGCTTCTGGGGCACCCTAGCGGGGCCACCCCTTAACCTGGGGAAACCGGACAGGCCGGAGCCGCCGTGCACCCCCGAGACCAGCCGGTACTTCCACGTAGGGGAGCCCAGGGACCAGATCACGCAGTTCGGGCAGCACGCGAAACAGCTGCGGGGCAAAGGGCCCCACCCAGGGGGCTCCCTGGGCCCCCCAGGCTCCACGAGACCCCTTCTTCCTCAACACAGGAGGTCCGCGCCTGCCACGCAGTCCAGACCATGAACCCCCCCCCCCACACACACACACACAGGGAAAAAAAACTTCTTCCCAGCAGCGCGCACGTGGAAACCAGGTCTGGGGACACAGCACACGCAGTCCACCCACGCAACCACCTCTGCCCGGCTCGCACCCCTCTTAAAAGCAACAATTTGCAAGTTTTACAAAGTTGAGGACACACAGAGAGGCCTCCGATCTGCCTACACAAACACAGACTCCACTTCTTGCAGCTCGTGCCTACTAAATATTGACAACGGTTGCCATGTTTTGCCACACAGAGTGAAAAAATGAAGTGCAATACAGCAAAGAGGAACCCCGCGCTTTTTTGGACTCTCCAGGGACCCTCGCGACACGCACACGCGAGCCAGGCCCGCCACACACTATCCAGGTCACACTCCACGACGTAGCCAGAGGAGGGGGTAGACAAACAAATCGGGAGAAGCGAAGGTGTCCCGGTCTCCCCGCGTTTCTGAGATCTCCGGGGAAGACTCGCCCAGGAACGCGCACCCGGGAACGCGGGGGACGCACGCACACGCGCCCGCACCCACAGCCGCCCCACGCGCTCACCTCATCGCCGTGCTGCTGGCAGAAGCCGAGGCGCTCCGGGAACACGGAGAGGATGGAGAAGGGCGCGCCGGGGAAGGGCGGCCCGAGCCCGAGCTGCTGCGCCGCGGCCGCGGCCGCGGGGCCCGGCGGGCCGCGCTCGATGTAGTGGTCCTTGGTGAGGCGCACGCGCTGGTGCGCGCGGACGCAATTGTCGCACAGGTGCTCCTGGCAGTCCAGGCAGCGCGAGGAGGCCGCGTTGCCCTCGTCGCAGGAGCTGCAGCCGTGAGGCCGCCGCAGCAGCAGCGCCGACGGGGACGCGGCCGGGCCGCCGCCGCCGCCGCCGCCGCCGGGAGTCGGGCGGGAAGGCGCGGGCGCGGGCGCCGGCGGCGGCGGCGGCGCGGCGGCGGGCGCGCGCGGGTGCGGGTGGTGCGCGTGGTGCCGGTGGTTGCTGTGGGCGCCCGCGCCCGCGCGGCCGTTCTTGGGCGGCGGCTCGTCGGCGGTGGCCACCACGGCGTCCAGCAGGTTGCTGAGCAGGAAGGCGGACGAGGGCAGCGCGTCCATGCCCGCCGCCTCGGCGAGCACGACCTTCTGGTCGCACACGGGGCAGCGCAGCTTGAGCGGCTCTCCCGGCGCGCCGCTGCCCGCCGCCGGCAGCCGGTGTGTCTCCAGGCAGGGGCGGCAGAAGGCGTGCAGGCAGGGCAGGACGTGCAGGCGGCGCGCCGCCGCCCCGGGGCCCCCGCCGCCGCCCCCGGACGACGTGGACGTCTGCGAGGACGAGGACGACGCGGACGAGTTGGAGGAGAGCGGCGCCGGCGAGCCGCACATCTCCTTGCACAGCAGGCAGATCTGGAAGTCGGTCTCGGGGAACGAAGCCATTTGCAACCCGTCCCGGAGGAGGGAGGAGACCAGAGAGGAAGAGGAGGAGGAGGAGGAGAGAGCGGACGAGGCGGGTGGGGGAGCCGCCGACTCACTCAGCAAAGAGCACCGGCCAGGTCCGCGACCCGGGAGCCGGCACCAGGGCGGCGCGGCCCGCGCGCGGCTGCTCCCAGCACCGCGGGCATTAAATGCCACTCTCCGGGGGCGACGCGGATTCCTGCCGAGGCGGGGAGGCCGGAACAAGCCCCGACACGCGAGGGGCGAGCAGGGGCTCGGAGGTCAGAGGGCTCCCGGGAGCAGCCGGGGCTTGGCCGCGCGCGCTGGCCGAAGGGGAGTCCCCGCTGTGCGATCCCGGTCCGGGCCACAGCAGAATTTGGCTCGACGAAGGTTATCTGGTGCGTGGCTTTTTCTCGGAATCTCTCCTCGGGAAGGCGCCCCGAAGTCGTCACGGCGGGAGCAGCGCGTCGCCAAGCCGGTGTGCCCCCGCGCGACGCCGGCCGCCCCGCCGCATGACGCGGCGGCCAGGGGCTCCTGGGTGGCCCGGCGTGCTGCGCCCGGGGCTTGCGCACGGCCAGGCGCAGCCCCCTCCTCCCCTGCAGGGCGGTCAGCCCCCGCCGCAGCTGCAGCTCGTGGGGGCCCGGCCGCACGCGCGCTCTACGCACGCGCGGCCCACGCGCGTCGAGTCTCCCGCGCACCCGCCGGAGCCCGGCCGCGGCTGCCCGCGCTTAGCACGCACGCGCGGCCCACGCGGCCCGGGCCCTCGTGCCCCCCGGCCTGGCGGGACCCGGGCGCCTCCCGCGCGCGGCTTAACCCCTCCGGCTTAGCGGCGCGAAGGCGCAGGGCCGCAGGTCCCCGCGGGCCGCCCTGAATTATTCATCGGCAGGAAGATATTGGATGTACCCGCTGCCCGCTCCGCGCGGGCCGTCGTGCAATGCTATCCGCGCCGCGCGCCCCTCCTCCTCCTCGCGTCCGTCCGCTCTGAAACCTTGGCAGCGGAGGGGGATCACATTTCCTTTGTCATCGGGCCATTTCGCCCTCGCCGCGGTCCCCCCTCCGATCCCGAGCCTCGGGGACGGAGCCTCCTCCCGGGCGCGCTGGAATCAGTGGAGCCGGCAACGGCCCCGCGCGGCGAGTTCGCGAGCCGCGTGGCCAGCGCCGCTGGCTCCCGCCTGCGTCATCTTCTCTCTCCGGAACGAGCAGCCGAGTGGGACGCGGGTGGCCCCGGCCGCGCCGCCCGGACCCTCATACTCTCGGACTACAACATTCCCCAACTCAGGCGTTTCCATGCGAGCGAACCCCCTCTTCTTAGTTAAAACTCTTATCTCCTACTCATCTCTCCTCCTCTCAGAACCAATATTTGGACAGATCGAAATTTTGGAAACCTTTTAAAACTCAAAAGAAGAAAACTCACCACTGCCCGAGTGCCGGGAGGAGGCAAGGGAAGGAGCAGGGGAGGGGGTTCCAGGCAAACAGGAAACATTAGCCCTCGCGGCACGGCCCGCTTTTGTGTGCTCCCTCCCTCCCTCCCTCCCTCCTCCCGCGGCCGGCCGCTGGGGAGATGGACGGCCCGGGCTGCAGCGACGACCTTTGAAACCTGGCGAGCGAGGAGCGGAGAGCGAGTCTTCCGTTGCTTTAAAAAAGAAAAGGTCGCGTTCCGAACCCCTGGCTCTGCGCACGCTGCTCTCCACTGCTGGGGACGCCTCGGTCCACACGCACACACTCACGCGCGCGCGCGCGCGCGCCTCCAAGCTTGGCTTGTGTTCGTGTCTGTGGTCCACATCACACAGTGGTGTGCGGCGGGATGCGTGGAGCTGAACGAATCTGAATTCTGATCCCTGGAAGGGCCGGCTCCCTTTTTTTTGTTGTGGTTTTAATGGGGCGGTGGGGGTGGGGGGAGGCGACCCGGTGACGGCCCCGCGGCCATCTGGGTGGTGCCCCAGGCTGCCTGGGCGGTGCCGAGAGGAGTGACCTGGGAGGCACCGAGGGCGGCTTCCCAGGACTTGCGGAGTTTGTGGCCCTGGGGCTGCAGGCCGAACCTTTGTCCGGGTCTGCTCACCATCTCGCCGCCAGTGACTTCTTGGGTTCCACTTAACCGGGGCAGGCAACAACCTGAATGAATCCGAAAACCTCTCGGGCCAGAGGCAAGCACAAAAGGATCACCCCTTAGGATTGCATTGACAGGGAATTCTAGAACGGGCGAAACTTCACATGGAGATGAGAAAGCAGCATTTGGGGGGTGAGGGACCCTTCCCCCGGGGGATGGGAGAGACACAAAAACATCATTTAATGCCGAAATTTCACTGTGTGCAAATTGAACTTCCATAAAACGGAAAAAAAAAAAAAACTTAGAAGCTTGGTTTCCAACCTGAACAACCCCACCTGGATCATGAAGTTGGAAAAATACAAGGAGACACACGGCCGTGCCCTGCTTCTCCGCGGATTCTCTCCCTGGGATCCAGAGGAAGGTCTGTCTGGAAAGAGCCCTTAAGTCAGGCCAGCTGGGCAAACAGCTCCCGAGAGGACCCAGCCGCAGCGGGGGAAGGGCGCAGGGCCACAGCACCCAGTGCAAAATGAGAAATCAGTGACCAGTCCCTGAGAGGCGTGAGTGGGAAAATTATTGGAGAAATAAAACCAAGCCGCAGCTCCTCCTCTGTCGACAGACCAGGGAAACTTCTTCTCATTTGAAAATGAGAGAGGGGCTTCTCCTGCCACCATCTGCCGCCACTACAGCAACTTGCGTCCAACATGGGAGACCCACGTGTGCACACACACACACACACATCTATGCACGCGTGTGCCTTTGTACCATGGGCGCCTTGCTCCAGAGGTGCTCCATGTAGTTTTGTTGGGTTTTGTTTCTTTACCCTGCTTTGATTGTTTTGAGTTCTTTTTTTAAAAGCAAAGCAAAATAAAAATAAGAGGAAAACAGATGGGGGAAGAGAATTGCCAGAAGGAAGATGGCCCCATAAGGTCAGAGCTGGGATGGCCCGGATCTGCTGCCTCCCTCCTAGCTTGGCCCCACCCACCACAAAAAGAAAAGAGAGGAGGGGGTGGGGACAGGCCTCCCCCAGGCCCCCTGGTCCTACCCAGCAGACTGTCTTGCAAGTGGATGGCAGAGGGGGGCCCGTGAGCTGAGCTTCCTTGGGGGAGCAGAGTGATTCCAGGAAGAGGTGGGTTGATTTTCTGGGGACAGTCGCTCAGAATTACTCCCAAAAAAGGAAGAAAGAGGAAGGGGAGGTTTGATTTCTCTTTAAGGAGTAGGTTCTCTCCTCTCCTTTCCCGCTCCGGTTCACACCACATCGCCAGGAAATTGGGCACATTCCAAATTTCCCGGAAGACCGAACTTCCCACAGGTTGGAAAGACGGAGTTCTTCCCGCCGACCAGTTTCACTCCGGTTGTGTGGAAATACAGTTGTGATTTGTTGAAATGCGGCACAGCCGTAGATCAATAATAAATTAGTGCTGGATTGCAATAAGGTTTCAGATAAGCTGGAGGAGGAGCTGGAGCTACGCATCCACTCCCAGGACCCGAGCCAGAGTCCTGTGCCAGCAGCCCCCAGGTGGGAAACGCCTTGCCATCCTCCTCCATCGACACCCACTCCTAGCTTTCGGTTGTCCTTTCTCCAGTTTACATTAGCAAGGGAGCCTTTGCGAATCCCGAAAATAAATCATCTGCTGTTTTCATACGCAACCACCTTTTAAAAGAAACCAGCCCTGGGCTCACAGAGGCAGTAAATTTGCTTTCTTTCTCCGCTGCATCCGTAACCATATTTTGGTTTCACAGAGTGACACCAGCCCCTGCCACCCTCGCGGACCCTGGCTTGGGGGCAGGGTCCGTTTCCATCAGAGCGACTTTGCTTCTGCTTTCTTCCTCTGATCCTTTCATTAAATATTCGATGCACCGTTTGTTTTGATGTCCAAATTGCACCTTTCACCATCCTCCTTGGCATGCATGCGTGTAATTTTTAAGCATATAAATCGCCAGATCATTAAAAAAAAAAAACCATGGAACATAAGTTACATCATAATCACTGTTTGGAACCTTCGGGGCGCAGGGTGGGGGCCAGCTGAGCAGACACCATCGATTCACCGCCTGCACCCTGCCAGTGGAAAGGGGCTGGGGCTCTCCACACTGGGGCCCACTCTTCACTCCGCCCTTGCAATCATTAACAGAAGGGTGTCAGCTGCCTTCAACAAGCCGGGAGTTGAGAGGAGCAGCGTGTCAGAGGATATGCTAGACGCTCTAGTCACCAGGAACTATATAAATGACCGTAGGGAAACTCAAATTGCACGCATAAAAAGTTAAATACCCAGCTTTGGTAGTTAAAGGCAGGTTACCACTGGGTGAGGCTCACCCCACCCCCACCCCCACCCCCACTCCTAACTGTGTGACTTTGGGCAAGTGTACCTAGCCTTTCTCTGCCTCAATTTTTTTTTTTTTTATCTGCCTGCCGGGAATGTTACAAGTACCCAGCCTATCAGGGCTGAAGAAGCTGCTGACCACACAGCGCTTGCTACAGTTGCCAGCACGTGCAAGCCCTCCTCACCTCCGCACCTTTAAAATAATCAGCATTCAGAGCCTGGTTGGCAAACTGCCTGCCTACCCTCACGCCTGTCACTGCTTGATCACTACCCTGGGCTCCCGGCCGGCCAGTCACTTCCTCCTTCCGCCCTGCAGAAGGAAGGGGCAGTATCGGCCTCCTGTCACTCAGCACCAGGCCCCAGGGGCGGCCCGGGGCCACCCTGAAAATCCCAAGCTCTCAGTCCCGGTGTTTGAAAATGAAATTTGTCTTTCATACTAAGGGGCAGAGAAACGATCAACCCTGTTTTTAAAATAAATAGAGCAGCAGGATGAAGATCCAACCTGAGTCTTAAGCTACCTACCCCCGGTGCTGCCTGATTTTGTGGCTGGAAAACTCTGCTATTTATCCCTCCCTGTTTCAGCCTAATCCTGCCCTTCATTCATTCCACCTGCTCCAGGGTTGAAAGGGCCTCCTCTTGCCAAGAACAATGAACTGCAACTGCTACCCGCGCTGGCGAGGGCCCCGTCCCTGCCCAAGTCCGCCTTCCCCGTGTGGCTTCTGCCCGGCAGCTCCAAGTCTGCTCTCATCCAGGCTTGAGTTCAATTGCCCCTCCAGCACCTGGGCTGGCTCCTGGCTCCCTGGACCACTGAAAGGAAGGCCTACCCGTTCCGAGAACTGGCAGCCAGCACCTTGGTCTCTCCTATCCAAAGTCACAATGCAGGAGGTCTGACTCCCTGCTAGAGACCCCACCAAGAGGCTCAGACTCCTCGAAGGGGACTGTTTGAGAGGAGCCCCCATTGTACCCACCAAGGTGACACGTGTACCAAGGCCTTCAGAATGTCCATAGAGGCCGGCGCCACGGCTCACTAGGCTAATCCTCCGCCTTGCGGCGCCGGCACACCGGGTTCTAGTCCCGGTCGGGGCGCCGGATTCTGTCCTGGTTGCCCCTCTTCCAGGCCAGCTCTCTGCTGTGGCCAGGGAGTGCAGTGGAGGATGGCCCAAGTGCTTGGGCCCTGCACCCCATGGGAGACCAGGATAAGTACCTGGCTCCTGCCATCAGATCAGCGCGGTGCGCTGGCCGCAGCGCGCTGGCCGCGGTGGCCATTGGAGGGTGAACCAACGGCAAAGGAAGACCTTCCTCTCTGTCTCTCTGTCTCTCTCTGGTTCTACTCTCTCTCACATACTCTGCCTGTCAAAAAAAAAAAAAAAAAAAAGAATGTCCATAGAAAAAGGCAATGCAATGAAAAGATCAGCTTATTTGGATGCCATGTACGTATGAAATTATGTGTACGAGGGGTCTTCAAAACACTTGTAGAAAATGCTGATTATGGGGCTGGCGTTGTGTTCCAGTGAGTTAAGCCACCGCTTGCAATGCCTGATTCTAAATGAGAGTGCTGGTTCGAGTCTCAGCTGTTCCGCTTCTGATCCCGCTCCCTGCTTATGCACCTGGGAAGGCAGCAGAAGACGGCCCAAGCATATGGACCCCCGCATATCTGTGAAGACCCGGATGAGTTCCTGGCTCCTGTCTTCAGCCTGGCCCAGCCCAAACCTCTAAGCCGTTCACTGGGAGTGAACCAGAAGATGGAAAAATCTCTGTCTCTCCCTCTCGCTCTGTAACTCTGCCTTTTAAATAAATTTTTTAAAAATCCTTTAAAAATGCATATTTACAGGGCTGGCGGTGTGGTGTGGTGGGTAAAGCCACCGCCTCCT